TCTCTCTCTCTCTCTCTCTCTCTCTCTCTCTCTCATCACCCTCTGTCTGTCTTCTCACAGTTATCAGTTCCCTCCTTTCTCTACCTCCCAACACCCGTCGTTTGTCTGCCTGTCTTTATGTTTATGTGTCTGTCTGTCTGGTTGTCTGTCTTTCTGTCTGTCTGTCTGTCTGTATTTCTCTCTCTTCTCTCTCCCCCTCCCTCCACTCTCTCTTTCTCTCTCTCACTCTCTCTCTCTCTTTCTATCTCTCTCTGCGTCTCTCTCTCCCTCTCTCTCTCTCTCTCTCTCTCTCGGTCTCTCTCTCTCTCTCCCCCTCTCTCTCTCTATCTATCTATCTATCTATCTATCTATCTATCTATCTATCTATCTCTCTTTCTCTCTCTCCATTCTCTGTTCTCTTTCTGACTCAACCACACAGTCCCACATGCGCACACAGTATAGGCCGTATCTCTACGTTACCTTTCTTTTGTTTCCTGACCACCTTTATGTGATTTGATTCTACATTAATTATCCGTGATAAGGTTTGCTATTTATTAGCAAGATTTACAATCCTATCCGTGAAACTTGCTCTTCATAAGTCAGGGTAGCCAGCGGATTACAAGTTCAGTATTATTTATTAAAATTCAGTGCTTCTCCCATGACTTCACTAGGCTACCGTGTCACTGTTGGTGCTGCTCTTTTGAATAGGCTGAAGTTTGAGGCTTGAATCCGAGACGGGTTCAAAGTTTATTTATGTTAATTCGGTTTCCAATTGACCAGAAACTGTGAACTAGAACAAAAAAATAGAAGAGGGAGTAAGGCAGCGGATCTAAAACAAAATGCAGTATTGAAACAAACAGTAACACAATGAACTGTATAATTATGTCTTGCTACTATATAAGTCTTGTTTTTGTAAAGTGCGCATAGCCAGTGTGTTTTAATCGGGGTTGGGTGCTATATAAAAGTCTTAATATTAATTTTATTACTCGTATTATTGAATTGTGATTGTGGAGTAGATCAAAGTGTCCCGTAATTTTCACCAATGAAAAGCTTGGTGGTTTGGTGATTGTCCTGTGCTGTCCGCTCCTTTAATATTCTTTGCTGTCGGTCAGCCTTCTTTTTCTTCTTTCTCTTATTATTATTA